ATGCTGCTGGGGGGGGATGGTGGTAACATCGGTGTTGTGATGATGATGACGGTGATGATGACGGTGGTGGTGGTGTTGACAGGGGAGATGGTGGCAGTGGTTATGGAGGGTGGGGGTGGTGCTCATGGTGATGGAGGAGACGGGAACAGCGCTGGTGTTAACGGTGGTGATGGTGGTGGTGGCAGCAATGCTGGCGGCCGTGCGGGATGTGGAGCACCTGCTAATCCAGTCATTCCCAACCTGACCGTTCCTGGCTCCACGAGGAGCCGCCTAAGTTGTTTAGATCGATAAACACAAGGACGAATCATTTTTAAGTCAGCACGGCCTCTCCTGAGAAACACGGGTAACTTAAGCTAATTCTGTTTTTTTCTTTCCGTAATTAACGACGTCTCCAAGGAATTCCCCCTTTGCCGACCCCATCCCATAACAGTTTCAAGTTTCCCTCCACTACCCTTAAAAAGAGTTTCTGTAACCCCATAACAAGGACTTACTTCTGCACAGCTACCACTCCCTGTGCGTCGTGAGCAAAACCAGCCACCGCTGTGGACAAAACATCTGGTAAAACCACCACTACAACCCCTGTCCCTGGTGCTTATTTATTCGCCCCCAGCATTCTTGCAGAGATGGCCAGACTGAGACCAAGATCACTCCTGCGGGGACGGGAAACCTCAGACACTTGGAGAAAGATGCGAAGAAGAGTCCACAGAGCCGCTTTTGGATGGAGACAGGAATTCGAGGCACGTCCCAGAGTCTCAGCGCAATTTCCCTGCCCCAGAAGCCCTTTCAGAGCAGCTCCCCAAGACACGCTCCTCCTGAGCCCCGTCAAGCCCGTCTGAGCTGGGCCTGGCCGCCGTGAGCCTGTCGGCCCCTTGAGCTCGCACAGCTTCGGGGGGGGGAACCCCACCTGCAGGCTGTGCTGCGCCAGCTCCTTGCTGTGATCATCTGAATGCAGCCCCCCCAAGCTTCCGGGGGCCCTGGTTTGGCCAGGAGCTCTCCCTGCATCCTGTCAAGACTATTCAGAGATTAAAATGTGGCTGTGATAATTTTTACGCTGATTAACCTTATCTTGGGCCCCACAGAAACAAGAAAATTTCCCGACCGTGGCTGGAAAGTAGGGTAAAGAAGCCCTTTTGGGGATAAAAACACTCCCTGCTTTCGCGTGTGGCTTCTGAGAGCGACAAGCAGAGAGGCCGGGCCTCGGGTCCTGCGCACAGTGGAGGCCGCGGCAGCCGAGTGGGGTTTCAACGTGGAGAAAGCTCTCGGTGAAAAGTAAATGTTGCTTTTTAGAGTCCCCTGTTTGCAGGCCGTGCAAAGAGAAAGAAAGGGTGCTTATTGGCCGCCTGAAGCCAGGTGCCAGGGCTCGTCTCTGCCACGCTCTGGCTAGAAGCCTGTGCACCGTTCCCGGCCTCGTCTCGCCAAGAACGCCGCGTCCTCTGACAGACAAGGCTCTTTATCTTTTTAAGCCAGTGGCGCAACTTATCCTGTGTGACAGTGAAAATGTAAGAAGGCCACCCTGGCTGGGGGGCTTGTCCGAGGTGGCCACGCAGGACTCAGCCAGCCTGATTTCTAGCCCTTCATTCGGCCGCGCGATTCCTCTAAGTGGCCCAGACACGAGACCCGCGTCCCGGAGACGCCTCTTACCTCGGGCTCCCCGCAGTCACACTCCTCTCCTTCCTCGACGTATCCGTTCCCGCACTTCTGGCCTCCGAAGGCCTGCTTGACCTCGGGCAGGTTGAAGAGGCACATCCCCACACCCTTCTCCAGGCTGGCCTCCAGGTCCTTGCGGCTGCAGCTGCTGAACACCATGGGGAAGGGGTACCTGCGAGAAGAGCTGCGCGGTCAGCCGTCAGCGAAAAGTGGCCTCGCCTCCTTCCTGTGGGCGACTCCTGGTCCCCCCCACCCCATGACATCTGCCCGCGGGCCCACTGTGGGTCTCGGCGAGCAAAGGCATAAACACTCGCTGCAACACAAGCCCCTTTAGCGGCACCCTGAGCTCCCGTCCCGCTCGGTGCTGGCACCCCCCGGAGGGATGCTTCATCCCCAAAGAAACAGCCTTCTGACGGTTTCAAACTAACGAGTTTGGACGGTCATCAGACAGTACTGACAGTCCCGTGTGAATCAGCAAGTGGAACGGGAACCCTCGGGATGTGTCGGCTGCAGTGTGAACGACTGATGTCCTTACTGGAAGGACAGAGGCACCAATGACCACGCCTAGCAGTTCCAGGGAACCGCGGACACGACCCCCGCTGCAGGTCAGGGCCGGCAACACGGGCCACGGGGCTATGACAGGCCGTCCCTGCCTCCCCCAAGCACAGCCAGGAGAGGCTGGAGGTGCCAGAAACGCAGGGACTGCTCTCGGCTCAGCACACCAGGGACACGAAGGGATGTGGCAGAGCCAGCCCGCTTCCCAGCAGAGTCCGTCCCCCATTCCGTGGGCCGGAGGGGCTGCCCAGCCCCCTGCACCTGGCTGGGCCGTGTGACTGATTCCCGGCGGCGATCACGAGCAGCGGTGACACAGTGCGGGTCCCCTCCGGTGGGGGGTATTTGCATGGTTGTCTCTCTTTAAGTCAGCTGAGCTCAGCGTGCTCCAATGTCCTAGGCCCTGGAGAGGCCAGACGTGGCCCCTGTCCTGACTCGCTGCAGGGCGGAGGGGGAGCCACCCGCGGCACAGAGCCCGAGTATCGCACGGAAGGGAGACCCCTCCGTTAGGGCGAGGCCCCGACAGCTAGGGGTCCGTTTCCGCCGGCCGCTAGAGTCACCCACGTAGATAGAGCGTCTCACTCTTTTTTACACGTGCACTTTCCCGTGTCCTGAGCAGCCAGGACGGTGGGGGACAGGCACGCCCGGAACCCAGAAGGGTGTGTTACTGACTGAGAAACCACGGCCTGCTGACCAGCAAGCCGGCGCCCTCTCCCCGCGCAGACGGCTACGGGATGAGGCCACAGCGGATCCCAGTCGACGGGCCCAGCAGGCGCCCTGCAGACGCAGGCGAGCGCCGTTTCGTGACTGAGCCTGGCAGCTGGTCAAGAGCGTGGCCAAGTGGGGAACACCGTCGGCGCAAGAGTTTTCTATCACCCGCAGCTTATTAACTCCGGAGTCTAATTCTGATAGATAGAAGCATCCACACAGGCAAGTCCTGCTCCTGGGGCAAAGGCAGTAAACCCTGGCCTGTCTGTTCTGCTGGAACAAAAGGTTTCTCTTGAAATCTGTTTAACTCCCTTTGGCAGTCAGATCGCTTATTCCAGGTATCAAAATGCTGCTGGATATCTGCAAATGGTGACCCACAAGAAAAACTAACTGTCCATTTATAAGGGCTGTGCATGGAAGGGACAGTGGTGCATGGTGCGGGGAATTGAGAGCTCTTCTCTTTGCAAAGAAAAAGCCTCAGCAAGGCGGAGATGGGACGTCTTCCCCGGTGGGAGTTCTCCTGGGACACGCAGCTCAGGGCCTGACCTGGGAGACGGGACATCACTCCCACTCAATGATACGCAGCCGGGTGTGGTGATAAACTCTTCCCAGCTCGTTCGGGAAGGGAACTGGTTTCCCAAGTATGGTAACAGTTAATTAAGAAAGACACCAGGGTAAGTTAGAAGCCTGGGGAAGGGTGTCAGCAGGAAAAACAGTAGCTGAGAGAAGTCCGATGGAAAGGCCGTGTGAATCCCCCGCTTCTCAGGTGAGCAGAGGGTGTCCACCACGGTCCGCAGCCTGGAGGGCTGAGACCTGGCCCATCCCGGCTCAGGCAAGCTCACCCACGTCGCCGTCTTTCAAAATAACACAGCCATGCGGGGCTTTTGGAGGGGCTGACGTTAAAGACGGGGCAGAAACAGGATGAATGAGCTCAGCTCAGGCCCAGGATTTAAGCGTCGAGCGTGTGGGAGCGGAGAACGGAGCAGATCGCTGCTGGCACACCGCTCGTGCGCCCGCTCCGGCTGCGGTCACATAGCCCCGCGAGCCGCACGGTGACAAATGTCTGTTTCCCTTAGCTCTTTCCTGTTCTGCGGAGGGACAAGTCCCAAGTGCTTTCAAAATCCTCTCTCATTTAGAATCGTGGATAAATAACATCCATCCAACTCACAGGTTTCCAGCCTCACTCTAAGGAACCAGGTCCAGGCACGAATTCCCGGGGGAGCCTCTGTGGCAGGAGCCCCGCGGTTCTGAGGGTGCGGCACGGACGGGCTCGCTGCCTGTGAGCCAGGGCGTCCGCAGAAGACGGCAGGGCTGGGCCTCCGCTGCAGGCCTGATTCCCAGCATGCCCGGGCCAGGGCTCTCACAGCGTGGTCCCGGCGTTGGCGTCCCCTGGCAACTCCCTGGGCATGCAAACCCTCAGGCCCCACCCACGGCGCCTGGGTCAGAGAACTCAGGGGTGGGGCCCAGCAACCTGTATTTTATTAAGTTCTTCTGACAATTAAAAAAAAAAATCAAGATAAAATTCACCCTTTTAAAGTATATTTAGTGGCTTTTAGTACATTTGCGATCGTGTGCAGCCATCACCACTATCTAGTCCCTGAACACTTTCCTGACTCCAAAAACGAACCAACCCCACACCCGTTAGCAGTCACCCCTCACTCTCCCCTCCCCCAGCCACTGCCAACCATTGATAGGCTGTCTGTCTCCACGGACTCACTATTCTGGGTCTTTGGAGTCACATAACATATGACCCCTATGTCTGGCTTCTTTCACTGAGCATCAGGTTTTCAGGGCTCCTCCATGCAGCAGCGTGTGCCAGCCCTTCCTTCTTTTTCACGGCTGAGTAATATTCCCTCCTGAGTAAGACTAGACCACTGTGTGTTCATCAGTGGATGGCCCAAGCGACTTATCAAAATTAAAGTTTGGGAACAAATGACCTAGATTAGAAACCCACACATTAGTAAAGATAATACATGGACAAGTCCACATTTATTTGTGTCAAAAAAGGAAACATAATGTAGTCTCATCATAGGTCATCTTTCACGCACTTAAGTTAGAAGTAGTTTTGTTTTCCACTATGATTCTAGTTCGTAAGCAGAGCGCAATGGGCAGNATTTGTGTCAAAAAAGGAAACATAAAGTAGTCTCATCATAGGTCATCTTTCATGCACTTAAGTTAGAAATAGTTTTGTTTTCCACTATGATTCTAGTTCGTAAGCAGAGCGCAATGGGCAGCATTCTGAAAACCTTGTGTGGTTTTAGGCAAAGGCTAAAAATCCCAGGAGCATCGATCTGTCTCTTAGAGCCAAATTCAAGTCGCGAATGAATTTTCAGGTACCTTTAAGTGTTATAGCAGGTGGACTGACCATCACAGACGGACTAAGGCGCCGGGACAGTTTCCGAGTGTGAGCACCGAGGTTTCTGTGCCGGAGCAAGATCCGTCCTTTCGTGTCCAGCTCCAGCGCAGANGCTACAGACGGACTAAGGCGCCAGGACAGTTTCTGAGTGTGAGCACCGAGGTTTCTGTGCCGGAGCAAGATCCGTCCTTTCGTGTCCAGCTCCAGCGCAGAGCATTTTGCCTGCCTTTGGCTCCTGCTGCTCCTTTGGCTCGCACTGCTCCTTCCTGAGTTTACAGCTCTGCTCCCTGGGGTACTGAACAGAACATGAACTGGGCCACAGTTGCTGGAGACATCAAAGACCCCGAGCAGGCCACGTCGGTAGTTAAAACGCGAGCCTCGGTTTCCTCCGTGGCTTTTGGTGAGCTCATCCCAAAGCTTCTCATCAATCACCCCAAATACGTCGGCTCGACGCAGAGAGTTGATAAACTGGTGCAAAGCGAGAAAACGGGAGAATTTCTCGGAAAAGGCGCCCTTTCGCATGACCCTTTCCCTCGGCACAAGGACGCTCTAGAAGAACTGGACCTCGGGCCCAGAAGCAGATGCCACGTCCAGCCCCTGGGCTCCAGAGGGCTGCCCTCGGGGACCCCGCCAGGGCGACCGGCTCCTGCGCCGATGGGACCTCTTCTGTGACACGTGTCTGCTTTTTCCTCTAAGGCGTAACGACCAAGGACACTTGGGGCACATTCACCACACTGAATGCAAAGGGGATGCAGCAGCTGGGCGATTTGGGCGGATAAAGCATCACACAAAACCCACTTTCCAAAGAGAATTGCTACCCACCGCTTCCCGCCGTAAACGCAGTCACGGCTGAACATCGCAGCGCCCCGAGGCTGCCAAGGAAAACAGGACGGGGGCTACTTTTCCCGTGACAAAGCTGCGGTCAGGGAGCTCTTTCCTCGCAGGAGCCCGCTGCGCGTCTGCGCTCTGTTTTGGGGCGAATACTACGAGGCCAATCTGTCAACCCCGACGGGGGAGCCGGGCGCCCTCGGCCGCGAGGGCTCCAGGGATGACTCCAGACACCGGCTTTCCTGCTGGAAGCCAGGCGGCCGGGAAGCGGCTGCAGTCGGCTGGCCCCGCTGGGGCCGCAGGTCACTGTGCCTGCTCTTCCTGTGCCTCCCTGACAGACACGGCTGTGTCCCAGAGCCCGGGGTGACATCAGTCCCTGTGCCGACTGCAGGAAAGAGGTGGACGTCACCAGAGGAAGAAGGACGGCAAGGCCCAGGCAGCTGCTGCGGACAGCTTGGAGGGGGCATGACCGTGTCACAGGAAAAGGCAACCCCGCAGGAAACCGGGGACGGATGGGAAGCCCTCGGAGTTCTCTGTTCAAATCAATTAGAAAACAAAGGAAAAGCTCACAGCGTCCACAGCTGATACACGAGTGGACAGTGTCGGGGGTGACTGGTGCTTTTGGGGAACACGTTGCTGACATCCTGCTTCCCACGGATCTCTTTTCGCAGACTACAGCTGAGTTGTATCTTCTGCGGACAGCAGAGGGGACAGATTCTGCAGCCCTG